AGCGTAGGAAACCAAAGTCTAAGTAAATTCTCCCTACTTGCCGTCTTATTCAAACTGACCAATGAGCGCGCGCGATAGATTAAAAATGACGATAGCGTGTTTTGATACTCTCATCAAACATGGTTTTCGACCAATCATAGCGCGCGTAGTATCCCAATTATTTGATAAATRTTATTTGTATAAAAGTCTGAACTAAATAATGATGATGTTAATCCCTGCCAAAGAAGTTATGGGATATCTTCGGTGATAATACAAAAAGCTCTCAGAATTTGATTTAACGGTAAAGATAACTGAAAGAGCTTTGCCAAATGAATCCGATAATCTATTGGTCGCACTGATATAATAGTATCGATAAATAAGAATGTTTTTAAAACTTCGCCGATAGTTATATTCACCATTACTCACACCACTCAAAGGTTAATGTTATTGAATGGATGAATACATGTTGAACGCACAGCCAGTATATCCATCTCATCTTCTGAAAGGTATATACACTCATTTATAAATCTATTACAAATGATACTCTATGTAAACGTAAAAATCAACATGTGAGTTGAGAGCTGTGTGTATAGAATTTTATATACATGTATATACATTTTCGTATCTGTAAAAAAAAAAAAAAAAAAAAAAAAAAAAAAAAATTTCTTAACGATATATAGCAATTTATATCAGGAGCTTTAAATTTACTGTTCGATGTGGGATGATGTCTAGCACTGCGCATGCTCACACTTGTACATGGCTTTACTTTTGGTTATCTATATTTTGCTTGGGCGTAATGTTTTCCCATTTCAGAATCATTTTTATTCTAAACTGTTCTTGCGTTCTTGGGAAAAGTGCTAAAATGGACGCACGCGCAAATGTTTATTTCTCGGAAATTCTGGAAAATTACGTACCTGGAAAAGTACCAACATCCGAGGTAAAACTGTGTCCGCGGCGTTCAGCAAGTGCTTCGATTTTCTTGAATTTATCGACGATTCTTGAATCCATCTGCGAGAAACATGTAACAGAAGAGAACCTCTTGAGATGCAATACATTGCGAAAGGTGATTTTTTAAATATTAATTTGAACTTTTTTAAGCTAGACACATGACAGACATAGATACACTTCAAAGGGAAACCGTTATTACAGAAAAACTGTACTCTCCCTTACAGCCCTAACAAAAAATTAAATTTATATATAAAGACAAAAACTATTTCCATTTGGTCTAAGTAAGAGAAAGATATAATGAAAAAATAAAAAGTGAATGAAATATATAAATATCAATATAAGAAAGAAAGAAAAAAAAAATTGTAGCTAATCGTAGCTAATTATTAAGCGATCATAAATTAATAAATACGAAAAAGTCCTTTCTAGCATTCTGGCTTGCAGTCTTCTCTAAGTTTTATATGACCAATTTCCTTTGGGCTTCCTGTGCTATGCACAAAGGTGAGCCTTCGTTTTAAACTTTGTTTTCACTGTATCTTAATTTTAATCATAATCATGCATTTATGTACAAAAACTTTACGTGTACGAAAATTGTACGACATTCCACTTTTCCTGCCAATTCCCACGCGCTTTCTATTTCCCTTAATTTTTGGTCAATATTTCTGCTAGTACACTCAACAAAATTACTCGACTCTGATTGGTCGAGAGGAGTACAATTATAGCGTTAATTGTACTCCGTAGGAGTACCGAATTAAGTCGCTATGGAAACACGGTAAAAACAATGTCAACAGCAGCAAATAAAAAAAAAAAAGCCGTAAAAACTAATAAGAACTAATCTTTTTTATGCATTTTAGTTGCGCGATGGACTGAAAATCGGCCGCCAAATAGACAAAGATGAACGGCGTCGCTTCGCATTTTTTACTGAAATTTTGTTGAGTGAACTCTAAACAAAAAATAAGTGTACACCTACTTGCAAGAAGGTTGTCATACGATATTAGAACATTAGTAATTTGATGAGAAAGGAATACATTAAAAGACAAAAGAAAAAGTTCAGCTTCAGTGATCTTCTTTTGTTTTTTAATATAATTCCTATCCCACTAAATCACTAATGTTCTATTTTCGTATGACAACGTTCTTGCAAGTAGGTGTATGTATTTTCTACGAAAGTATACACTGAATAGACCAATTCGGCTAACGCAATGTTTCACCCAATTCAAATCTACTGGGAATACTTGTTCTAACGAAATTTTCATTACATAGCGCGCGCTACTCAATCACGTCAGCACCATCCCCGTGGGGGGGGGGGGGGGNAAAAAAAAAAAAAAAAAAAAAAAAAAAATTGCGGATACAAAAATTTCCGGATATGTGTGGACGGGACCTAAGTCTTAACTGAGATTCCTTGAGCCATAAGTTCAGCAGTATTTTTTTATTTGTATTCAGTCTTGATCACGATGTACATGAATGCAATCAGTTTATCGTCATGATCATGCAACGGCTAAAATTTTGAACTTGGAAAAATATTGGTAGCTGTTTAGTGATTACGTTTCCTAAAAAAACAAGTACGTCAACGAGTACGTGACGAATTTCAAAGTTGGGTTATACGTTGAAATTGAGAGGGAGATGAGAGCAAGAGTAATAATAATAATGATGATAATAATAATAATAATAATAATAATAATAATAAAATTGAAGCAAATTGTAAATAAAGATAATGACAATGTATAGAGCTTATAAAGCGCGTTCTTTTACCTCAATGCGCTTAGTAAAACTCAAGAAATAATAATAAAAACAAAATAATTAGATTAAATAAATAAGTAATATTAGTAATAATAATAATCACTTTGAATATTCATATATTCGCGTTATTCCAGCGTAGGTCTGCGTGTTCAAAGTGTTTGTATTGTTGAAGCTGTGCATTCCGTTATTTTATTGTTTCATTGGTATTAGTGAATATTTGGATACTGATACAAGGCTAACCCTGTATCTAAGGCCCCGTCCACACTATGCCGGATAAATTTGAATCCGAATTTTTATTTATTCGGTTAGGCCTACCGTCCACACTAGTCCGGGCGATTCACTGAAAACGAATTTTTTCGAATACGGTCTCCAGAGTGGAACAATTTGAAAACGCCGGCTAGCGGCGTATTAGTGTGGACGGAAAACTTTTTTTTCGGTTTCGGTTTGAAAATTCGGATTCAAAGATATCCGGCATGGTGTGGACGGGGCCTAAATGAGTCAAGGAACACGGCGGTATTTGACAGATTCAAAAATGGTCTATTACTGATGATAAATAACTGATATTAGTCTTTTTTTTGCTATATACTTCATTATAAATGTTTGACTAAAGCTTAAGGCTATATCTTCAGTTTATCAACATATCAGGTGATCGGAGAAATTTCCCTGGGGTACACCCTGGGGCAATAATTAGAAAAGAAGTCATGTGTTGTAGAACTTCAACAAGTCCTGGTTTTTATGCAACATTTATAAGAATGGGTGGCGGTGATTCTTTCTTTCTTTCCTTTCTTCCTTCCTTCAATTCCTTCCCTTCTTTCTTCCTTCCTTCTTTCTTTCTTTCTTAATTTCTTTCTTCCTTTCTTCCTTTCTTCCTTTCTTTCTTTCTTTCTTTCTTTCTTTCTTTCTTTCTTTCTTTCTTTCTTTCTTTCTAATTCTTTGTTCTATTCATAATACATTTCAGGGTAGATATCACGTGATAGCCGTACTTTCAAGAGCTCTATCCCGATTGGTTCATTCTGACGCTTATAACAAACTACACACAAGCTCTGTGGATCATAACGTGTGTTAAGGTCTTATCGACAGGAGCGACTTGAATCACTCAAGATAGACGAGAGACTACACTTAAGGTATTTACTATTTCACACCGCATTGAACCCAACATATACCGCTCTTAAATCCGTGTACCTTATGGCTTTATATCAGTTTTGAAGGTCAAGTAGTAGTGGTTGGAATGAACAGGCCAAAAAGGTTTTTCTCGCTTCCGCCAATCAAAAATAATCAGTCGGTACAATTTATATTTTTGACTAGCGGCAGTCAAAACTAAATTCCAACGGGCAACTCACAATAACCTACTTCGCATTTTATTAGAAATTTCTATAGATACCGTTAGCATGGAGCATTGATGAAAAAAAGGGGTGTTGCGGGCACCATCGTCCTTCATAAGCAGTGAACATAGACTAAAAAAAAACTAAAGAAGGTTGAATATTACTATATTTCTTTTTACACTTAGTATATTACAGGCGTAATACTATCTACGCTGTCTTGATTTGTTTTCATTCATAATTTTGAGTTAATATCGTACATGCATATCGATCTTTGTCACGTTTGTCGGTTTTAAACTGCGCATGCGTGCGATAAGAGCTGTTTAAATATCGTCGAATCTGTTTCAAGATATTTCTCTTTTTTGATTTCTTGTAGTTTCGTTTTCTTTCTTTCTTTCTTTCTTTCTTTCTTTCCTTTTTTCTTTCTTTCTTTTCTTTCTTTCTTTCCTTTTCCTTACTCCCTTGGTTGTGAAACTCAAAAAATTCATTAAAACCTTTTAATTTAAAAAACAAAAAAACAAAAAACAAAAAACAAAAAAACTTTGCATTATTATTTCGCAACGACTACCAACCCAAAACATCTTTCCACATAAATTCACATTATTCCACAAAATATCTAAATAATAAAAAAATTCTTACATATTCAAGAAAGATCAGTATTATACTATGGATACATCTATATGAATTTTACCGAGTCATTTTGAAGGACATTTTAACATTCATATTTTAGAGAGTCACTTAGCCTTCAACGAAGACTGCTTATCGCTAGTATAACATCTTAAACCTAATTACAACGTTCAAATCGCGGTGTTTTTAAAAGAAACCAAGTAATAAAGGCAGTAATTCAATCAGCTCGATAGTAATATTACAAAGAGTAAGGCTTTACCGAGTTCGTTTCAGAACCAATACCTTTAAAGTTAAAATTAAAGTTAATCTAGATGATGAATAAATGTAAACTTTAAAAATGTACAAATTCACTAAGAAACTGCGTGTAAAGGTTAGGTGTGTAAGAAGTGAAAAAATATCTGTGTTTTACTTTCCGATGTGTGGTTTGAAATATCGTTTTTTTAGCTGCAAGCTCTTTAGGTAAAAACCTATTATTACTCGGAAGATTGAGCAATCATTCTCTGAGTATCAGACATAAAAAATATCTAAAAAATCCAATTAATTTATATAATTACTAACACTTACATGTGCTTTCGTTTTTCTTTCCTTTCCATTTTACTTATTTACTTTTGTTTCATTATTTTTTCGGTAATCTAGACGTGCATTTTGCGTAGTTTTTATGCATTTATACATAGTCAATATAGCTCATACATAATCCATTATAAGTGAAAATTATCGATACTTCAATATTTATTGCAAGTTTACACTGACAACTTCCTAACCGTGAAAACACTTTGAGTTTTTTTTGTCACTTTTTAAAATGCATGCTTTAAATCATCCCTTGAGCCAATGGATTGGAGAGTAAGATTTATTCTGATCACTCGGTGTATTTGAGAGTGTTTGAAACAGTAGAAAGTTCAGGAAATAATCATCTTTGGGGCGGGGTGGGAAGTAAGATTTCCGAGTTCAGAATTAATTCTACTTCAGTTCGATACTTTTTGAATGAGTGTAGAAAAAAGAAAAAGAAAAAAAAAAAAAAAAAGGAAAGATATTAAATGTTCTGTAAAATTTCGACTCTTTTTAAGGATTTTACTCCTGATTCTTTTTAAATATACATGTTTAACTTAGCCAGACTTACTCAGTAATATTGAGATGCTCTCTCAAATGGCAAATTAGTTTGAATTTACTCTTGCTAATTAGTTTGAACTTCGAAACTCGCCCAGTTGTTTACTCGTTTTTCAAATAGCCTTTTCACTTTGCAGTTTAAAAAGGATAAATTTGAGAAGAACCTGAAATAGGACGATCGAGGACGTTTTTTAACCAATAACAGTGCGCGAGAACGCTTCTTAGCCAATCAAAATGCTCCGATACGACAATGTTACGGTCACGGTCAAGACGCACGTTATTGCTTTTTATTAGACATATAATATAAAATTTATCTTAGTACTAAAAGTTTACTGACGTTCGTAGACTCCAGTATGCCTGGCGTACGAACCACTCACACATATTTTGACAAGATATTACATTAGCACTGATATGGTACCTTGGTATTTGTGTTATTCATCAAGAAATAATGGATTGTATTGAGCCAGACCCCAGCGCCCTCTATGTGACTAGCTTGTCATGTTCGTATTCTTTTCTTCAAGTCTATCAATTTTCATCGAATCAACCCTGCAATCAACCTATGCGCTGATCAGGGCATAATCAATGTTCTTTACAATGATGTTTCTCGGGGGACTTGACAGACTGCTATTACGGCGCAAATTGCAGCCATGCAGTTTGCAGTCGTAAGTGTTTGTTAGTTTACAGATCGAACCCTGAAACAACCTCAGAGTTGGTCTATGTCAGGGCAAGGATCTAACTCAGAAATCTCGGATTGAATAGGAATCTAGCTAGCGCGGGGTTTTGCGAGGATGGGGAAGCCAGGAACCCAAAGAATAAGCCCCTTAACCGCCTTGGATGTAATGTTTTCTCATTTCAGACCACATGTCATTCCCTAGAGTATCATTTCTTTGTTTAAGGATTGCGCATGAGAAGACATAATAGATATGGATACAACTCAAACGAAATATCTTATTCTCAGGGAAATGACAATGACAGTGGCCCAAGATTGCGAATTTGATATTTTTAAGAGTAATATAAAGGAATTCTAAACTTGCCTGTTCATTAATGGCGAATTGCACTATTGCACAAAAGAAAATTTCTTATCATTCCTAGGAAGCTTTCCCTGAAGCACGTGAAATTTTTTAAGGAAGTTTGTACTCCCAACTGAGATGCACGATGATTTAGAAATTTTACAGTCGTTATCGAATCTTGATTTTTTTCCTTTTTTGTTTTATAATTAAACCCTGGTGTTAACCGTATGTTATACAAACTCAAATAACGACAAAAAAAAAACAAAAAAAAAGGTTTAACAACACAGAGTCGAGTTGATTATTCAAATATTTATCTTAAAGATCTCAAACATTGATCTTGTCAGACTTTTCAGAGTGCGCTTTCGTAATTACTCTATATATTTTAACATTATCGTTGCAATACTCGTTATTATTTTTGCAGTAGCGAAATATTCATACGAAGCAAATCATATCAAAAGTACTTACTTGAATGAATATATATATTTTTCCAATTCATTTAGATTTTTTTGGTAGAATTTCAAATGATTTCAGCATTTAGTTTTCTATCTTTTATCATATGTGAAAAAACCCCACATCATTATTACTGATTGATGTAATAATTTACAAGATAAATTATTTAAAATTATCCTGTTTTAATCAGGAAAAATATAAAACTTTTTCTAAGCTTTTCATTCTTGTGGATATTTTCAATTGCTGAACCTCGAAGATTTTTATTTTCCCATTTTTGTCGCGGAATTTTTTTACTGAATTTTGAGTTTTTCGGAAATATGCATCCGAGGTAAGAATTTTAATTTTGGAGAGAATAAAATGAAAAATTTTTATTTAAAAAAAATTATTCTTAATATTTTTCGACAATTCCAACAAGGAAAATATGAATATTGTCATACCAGCGAAAATCGGCATTCTTCACCTTGGCATAATGGGGAAAAGATTTAAAAT